AAAAAAAAAAAAAAATGTCTGACGAGATTAAGATTAAGATTAAGAAGAAAACTTTTGTTTACCAATCTTCATAATTTCTTTATACATATATTTTTCTTGTTCATTGCAAATGGAGCTGGAAGAGTCATTGTTAACAATTCTCCTGGTATAGTGTCAATAATGAACTAGATCAAAATAACTCAATTTAATTCTAGTGCTTCTTCTATTAGTGAAGTTTATAGAAAAAAATATATCAAACGACGCAATGCACATTGAGTCGCTACGGAAACAACCTCATTTTATAATTACAAGGGTAAGGTCTGCGTACCACTGACCCCCAGACCCCAACCAGTTGAAAATATACTGGATATGTTATGTTGATGTATATATTCTTCTTCCTAAATTTGGGTGTATTTATTTATTTATTTATTTTTCCCAATAAGATGTATTACGTATTTCAACAACAATTCTTGTATGAGTTTCACGATACCTACTCCTCGTATTAAAATTTAAACCATCACAACATGATATTTTGAAATTCAATGTTTGCTAAAGTGCCTTGGTCTTCCCCCAACAGTTTTGAGACTATATTTTAGTCGCATTTAAATCTCAATCTGGCCCAAAAAAAAAAAAGAATACATAAATAAAACAATTATTTGGCCCAATAGCTAAAAAGAGGAAGTGATGGTTGCAAATTTTAGATATGTTAAACAGTACTTGGCCCGACTGGCCGGCCCGTTTAGCCCCCAAAAAAATAGGGTTAAGGCATTTTTTTAGTAGCCCATTTAAATCACGGGTTTTTAAGCCCATACCGTTTAGACCGAAGCCTGATAGAACTAGCCCGAAACCCGCTAGGGCTAGCCCGTTTAACTTGTATATTACAACTCTACTATTCTACTTTATATGTAACTATGAGTTGTAGCCAGTTATTATGATTTTGAAAGATAATTATTAACAATTTCGTTATTCTACTTCACACCAAATTATTTAAGCCAATTAGAACGAGTAATAGAAAACACATGAGACAAAGACCTAACACATAGAACATAGTGATAGAATATAAATTCAGCAGTAAGATACAATATCGTGAAAATTTTCAAAGCGTACAAAAATAAGTAGTAAAATGGTAATTATAAGTAATAGTTCAAACATTTTTTTTTTCTTTTGAGAAAAACATGTCACTTAAGAGTTTGTAGTTTGTAGTTTGTAACGAGTGTTCATACATGAAATGTATATGTATATATATAGAGCGATAAATACTAAGTACCCATTAAAAACAATCGTGAACTCGCCGTTGTAATTTTTATTTATATATTTTTTATATATTATTATTATTATTATAGCCCGTTTAGCCCGAAACTCGCTAGGGTTAGGGTTATGTCCTTTTATTGGTAGCTCGTTGGCTTTTTAGGCCTGGACCGTTTAGCCCGAAATATACTAAAGCTAACCCGAAACTGCAAGAACTAGCCCGTTTAACATGTCTAGCAATTTTAGTCCGCGTGATTCTAAAAATAGGAAAAGACAATGCTCTTTTTAACCCACACAAAATGACCAACCAATGTTAGAATAATCACGATCAAAGACTTCCATAATTCTAGGTGAAAAAAAAAAAAAAAAAGACTTTCATAATTTATGTACGGGATAATTATTTATATACAATTACGATGCTGATTCCACATATAATGAACAGATTAAAATAAAATACAAGCACTTGACTAGTTAACAAAACCCCTAAATCCAGTTT